TTGGTTGTTATTTCTAAATACGAGTAAAGAAAAGGGTTGGAAGCCAACAGAATGCAGCCTGAGGTACAGATGAAGATTTTAGATTGCCAGCCTACTACAAGCTTGTTCTGAAGGTCTTGATTTTCTGTTTTGAAATCAACACACATGTCTAGATGGGCTGTAAATGAGGAAGAAAAAAAGGAATTTTCTGCTTAAATGCATGGAAATAAATCTTAAAGCAAAATATCCTGAATGCAGTGTTTATTAAACATAGATGGCATGTGGATAAGTTACACTTTTAAGTAAGGAGGAGTGTACAAAACCAAAAACTTATGTTTAACAGGACAAGCTTAAAAGCAGAATGCTTTAAGTTGCTGCACCTGATATAAAAGCTTTCTGGGATGACCCTCACTTGATATGCCTATCTTGAAAAGCTAAGAACAAGACATAGAGATGACACATGGTATTTGCAATTGTGAGTACAGTGATTGAACAGATTTTTCTTCCCTGCTGGCTTTAAGAATATGTAAGAAAGAGGGAGCAACTAGAACCCAAGGGTCTTGGCCTGCTGCTGATCATGTTGGAGTGTGCAGTAATGGGAGGTATGATCTTGATTGGAATGGTAGTGTGGAGGATATAAGATTCTAGGAGCTACAAGAGGTTTGGGAATGCCTAGAAGCAGGTCCATTAAACAGCATCTCATGTGGGCTGGCAGTCTGTTGAGAGCTTTTCTAAAATCATGATCCAGAAAATGGAATTAAGAATTTCTGAAAGATATCATAGTGAAGATGTTAGGAAAAGATGGCCTATAAAGACAAAACAAAACCAAAAGTTTTCTTTGATGCACAAAATACTGAGATAAGGGGAAAGAGCTTATTCAGTGTACTGTACGTTAATTACCAAAAATTTGGATAGGAAAGCATGATAAAAATTCAGAATGAGGGGGAGAGAAGAAGGGGAAGTTCATCCTGCCTGTTCTAGAGAAAACTGAATTTATAATGCTTGGAGATTTGGAAATGTCTCTAGGAAGAGGCTTGGGGTTCTATTTTTAGTTTCCCGTTCTGTATGCTTTGCATGTAAAAGCTCTTTAGTCATGTTCTAATTCAGTTAGATTTAAAAAATTCACTCTTAACTGTTCCAAGATTTGTCTCCTCTAACAATGACTTTTTGATTTGAAGAGAGTTCAAAAATTTGAACCTGTATAAACTGTCCTATGTCTAAAATTCTAGATTATAATTTATCCAAAATGTTTTGTTTCATGGGTATTCACTGTGTGTTAAAAAACCTAACGCTGCTTTAAATGGATTTTTTTTCTTATTTAATAGTAGATGAGATGGTCCTGGTCAGTTTGAAACTTTAGAATAAGCAGCTGATGCTAGCAAGCTGATAGTGTAAATGGGCAATATTCTAAAACAGAATTCTGCAGGCTTCTTGATTTATTTCATTGGTAAATAAAATTTTTGTGATCCGTTATCATATAGTTTGACTCCAGTTTTTTGAAAGCTACATTAAGCCCAGGGGTAGGATTTTCTCAGTTTTCCAGTAGATTCTTCCCACAGTTGGTAAAAATTTACACTTTTTAGTCCATTTTAAGTTTTAACTGTACTATGTGGAAAGCCTGGGAACTGATATAGACAAATTTTGAAATATGCTGAGGCAGTGTCAGACATTAAGGAAAAGTTGCACAGTGAAATTAGAAGCATGCTGCCTTATCTGGGTAAGGTTTTCATCGTGCATTGGAAGGCTGAGAGATGTATTTCTCTTCCCTTTCAACTCGCTTTACATCCTGCCTGAGCAAGTAATTTGTCAGGAAGCATCCTGATATGCCCTCTGGATATGTGCTTACCTTCTGAGTACCCTAAACCCCAGTGATTTTTCTGTTGCAGGCAGCTGGCCACGTTCTTGATGCCCTGCTTGCCCTGAGTTTTGTTGGTAGTGACCTTTGGCACTTGAAGTCAGTGAAAATAGTGCTGCTGTAAATGGTCTTCCTCTTGCTTGTTGCCAGCCAGTGGTATTGGAATGAGTAGCACAAGACAGAATAGCTTTGGCTGTAGATTCCTGGTCAAGAGGGGGAACTGAAGAAGTGAGAGTATTTATAAAAATAAAAAAGCCACTCTGAGCTGTCCACTATAATGTGTAGCAAATCTTAGCATGGGACTTGTTAGTATTCGCTGCAGATTCAAAGACTTTTCTCTGCTTGTGAGTAACTTGAGCTACTCCAAAGATTCTTGTGCCTGGTTACAGTAATTGCTTGTCGCACGTCTTCGTGGCCTTTTCCTACGGCAAAGATCTGACTTTTGGTGACCTTTTAATTATATCTCAAGCTCCAGGCAAGTTTTGAAACGGGGTGAGTAATGTCTGAGAAAATGTCCTCCTGCTCACTGCCATTTAGAATGAAGTGAAGAGAAAGATGTGCCACACCTGTTCGTAAAGTAGCTGTTGCTACCTGAGCTCTTGAAATTGAAAAACAGTTCAGGGTATTTATATGTGTAGTGTTGCAGCCTTGAGCCGTCAAAAAAACAGAAAGTCAGGTGCAGTTCTGTAGTACTGTAAGCTCACCTAATTGTCCCATCCCCTTAGTCTTGTATTTCCTAGTTCATGGTGTTGATCTGGTTGGGAACTGAAGCGTCAGGCAAAAGGTAATTGTCATTTGGCTGTGCTTCCTTATCCAGCTTTCCGTGGAGCTTATTAGCAGCCAGGCAGGCCACCTCTGCAGCAGCTGGAGGCAGTGCAGGCCGGTGCGTGGGCAGCTCATCACACCCTGTGCCACTTCACACAGTGGCTTCAGAAGAAATGCTCGCTCCTTTACCCTCCTTGCTTGTGCTGGCACAGCAGCCTCTCCCGACCCTTCAGCAATGATGATTCAATTGCTACAACTACAGGGTGATAGTTGTGTATTGGTAGCTTGGGATCCTACAGGTTTAGTGAGCAGAATCAGGTCAGTGAGGTGAGACCAGCTGGATTTGTTGGAGCTGATGGAAGGAAGAGAGCGCATCCGTGGAACTGTTGCTCTGGTCACAGTGATCTGCTACAGCTGTGTCATTGAACTACTTTACTCTAAATTTATAAGCAGAGAAAAGGGATGCATCATAAGGTGGATTTCACTCCTGTCACTGTAAGTGCATTTGTGTGGGGTGCTTTGGCAAGAAGAACTTACTGGAAACCTCTAAACTGTAAAAACAAAGGAGGTGGCATGTGGTAAATACAGCACCAGTATGAAGTGTAAATTGTTTTATGACAAAATGCACATATTGTGTTTATAGTAACTAGAGAGAAAATCTTGTGTATATCTGGAGAAACAAAAATGCATTTATTGTGATTGATAAAACAGCTATGCTGCTTTCTTGTTAAGTTTTACTTTTAAGATGAAATAAAGCATGCAGTTAGGAACTAAAATTTTGCTCATACATTGATGATGCAAGTGGTGGCTTAATTAATGTAAGTGCTTATATCAGCACAATGTGATCATCACATTGGAATTGTTTTATTTCTTAGGATGTGCAAGAGGTGCTGGGTCTGATGAAATTTAGTTTCATCCTGTGTTACTGAAATTTGGGTGAGTTCAAATTTGAGATTTTCTTGATCTCTGCTTTGAAACCATCTGAAAAATACCAAAATTTTTCTGAGCAGTTGTAATTCTCAGGCTATTCTACAAAAAAATTAACTATGCTTTTAAGATTGTTCATCATGCAGTAAAATAAGTGGATTTTAGCAATATTTACAACGTTGTTATGGAATAAAAGAAATGGAATAATTTGAAATTTTACTGTTTGGAACTAGTGATTCATGTCAACCTCGGGAATCAAGTTTTCCATTACTGATGTGATTCAATATGTGATTGCCATTTGCTGTGGCTTAAATGGCCTCTTCCAACACCTGCAAAATCTGGCCCTGAACTAGGACTACAGAAAAACTGAGGCAGAAATAAAGCTATATTAAACAGATACTGCATTCTGTGGTGTTTCTTACGAAGTTTTAACATGTGTTTTGGAAGAGCCTGTCCTAGCGTGGTGTAGGTGGTTGACTAGAAACAGGCTCTGGTATAGCCACTTCCATGGTTGCTGTGCTCCACACCACGTTCTCCTCAATTCCTAAAGCCATTTTGCCCTTCTGCAGCCTGTTCCTGACTCCCTCTCTTCTGTCACAACTGTATGGGAGTCACATTGGGTGAATGGTTTGGTGGGAGGGGGTGGAACAGGACAGACAAGTTAGCTTTTGCCTGGAAATGTTCCTTGTTTGACATACCATATGAAGGCTGATGATGATCCAAACAATAGACTGGAGCGTGGTGAGAAGGAGCAAGGAGGAACTCAACTCCTTCTGGAGTAGAATGAATTTCCTGGATTGAGGTGGTCATGTAGCTCCCTATTCAGTTGTCCGAAGTGTCTGAGATGTCAGACAGTCCCAAGGAAAATCCGTATATGGCTTGATGTACATATGTCTTCCAGGCTGGGCACTATCATCTTGAGGAAAATAAAAGGGCTGAAGATGAAGCTTACGAAGGCATTGTAAATCAGCAGTTACATAAGAGCAGAAAAGTTCCCTTATTGTGGAATAGCAATCTTTTCTTTGTGTTTTTTTAACAAGACTTAAGAGGAAGGAAAGTTCCATATTTGAAAACGTTGTGGAATTTGAGTAGAAGCAAGATCCATTTGCTTTGGTCTCTGCAGAAAGTGCCAACTTAGAGACGTGGTTAGACTTCTGCTCAGTATTTTACTCAGCGATGGTTCTGAGGCTGATGGACTGCCAAGGAATCCATGGTTGTTACATAGTCTGATGAAAGAACTGGGAATCTTAGGGAGAACCTTCGGAAAAGGGTTAGAGAAGCATGGCAGCTTTTCCTCTCCCAAAAAAATGTGGCAAGTTGGAAAGAGATATGAAAAGCTGGGCTACCAAGTGCAGTCAGGAGCACTGTTTTTTAGGGGATTTCTTCATTCTCCCATAAGACTAGGGCTAGAATTTAATCTCAAACTGCTGAATGTTTTCTGAAATGCCCTTAGGAGTACTTAAAAAAGGTGCAGGTTTTCTTGTCCAGTCTTTCTTCCTGCTTAAAAAAAGTCTGTGTCCTGACAGCAGTATCCTGAAATACTCCATTTTGTGAAGCTTCACCAGGTTTATGTGCATAGTAAGTCATTCACTTTTGGCTTTCCCAAAGTCAATGCTACTTGCAGTCACATTCATCTTCCAAGATCAACTTCAATATTAATAAATAAATAAGACAGACCCTCCCTGAATTTGTTCTAGAAGCCAAGGTGTAATTCCCTGAATTTGGATCATTCAGTGACAGTAACATGAGTAAAATGAGAAATTGGCAGTGAACTTCACCCTCTGTTTGAAAGCCTCCTCTCCTTGTGCTTGCATCCCTTGTAGTACTAAGCACACACCATGGTCTGATTGGTATGTGGTTTTTATTTTACCTGTTATTTTTCCTTTGGTAAAGAAAGGTATTGCATATAGATGAGTACAACGAATAGTAATTTGGTGTGTTTCATTGGATATGTGAGCCAACCCTTGCTTCCTCTCACCTCCTGCTAGAACTCTGTTTCTGTTTAATTCTCCAAGACATGCAGTGGCCTTGGCAGAAATTAAACCGGCAATGTGTTTTGTCACTTGGACTACTGGAAACCATCTGTGTGTTCCTCAGTACTTGTCTGTACAAACCTTGAGTATTATCTTGGATGTCCTTTCATTGTAAGCATGGAAAGCAGTGAATGGGCCGGGCAGGCAGATAGCCAGCTATTAAGTGTTTGTGGTAACATTCATCAGTGAGCTGGCATATTGCTGCTGATTGAGTCCTTCTGTGTGGCACTTGCTTTTGGGGCTTGGCACACAAAAAGAATAACAGTGAACACGTGATGTTTCAAGGTAAATGCCTTGCCGTTCTGCTGGCAAATTTAGCAACAGTAATAGGACCAACATCAGAATTACTACTTGGTATTTTTCTTGAAAGCATTTTCCCAATGTCATTAGCCTTTAGCTTGGTGATAAATTTTTCATGCAGTTATCGCAGACTAGTGTACAAATTTCAAATGCCACAATCAGTTCTTCTGTAAGTGATAAAGCCAGTTATGGAGCAAGATGCAGAAGCTACAAACACTCTGTCTTGGTGTATGCCTAAAATTAATGATATTTTTATCTTTTTAAACCTTTGAGGGGTTTTACATGTAATTATAGAATCCAAATGTTATCCAAATTCATAGTTCTGTTAAGTGTCAGCAAGGTACCTGATTGAAGGTGCTCAAATGCTCTTTTGCTTATGTCAGGAAACTTTGATAAAATGAAGCAAAATCTGTAACTGGCTGCAAATGGACACCTTTGTGCAATATTTCTTCAGAAAGCTTGAAGGCTTTTTAAGCATTTGTATACCAAATAAAGACTAACAATTTGATATTTAACATAATAATTGGCATTTTAGTAAATGCAAGTAATACTGTTATAAGAGAACAGTACCAGCCACTCTAAAACTAGCTGGCCTTGTTTTGGGAATAAAGAGGACTCTGACAGTTTGCGAAGCAGTGCTGTAGCAACAGGCTGTTCTGCAGGGTCTGCGGGCACTTTAAGAGGCAACCAGGTTGTGCTTCTCTGGTTTTAAAGCCAGTGGAGTTTGTGTCATTGTAGTGATAACCAAGAGTCTTGCACCACTGCATTGGTCCAATGGATGTTGATGAGTGATGAAGAATTGGATCATTGGGCAAGAGGCAGATAGAGTAAGTGAAATGTGTGTATGTATGTCATAGAAACAAAGAGGGAGGGCATGGCAGAAGTCAAAGGCCCAGCAGAAAATGTATCAGAGAACACAGAATGCGTCACCTTTGACTTGTAAACAGCAGAAATTTGTTTTCCTGTAAATTTGTATTTATCAACTTTACTAGGATCAGTGGAATAACTGCCTGCTCTTCCCACTGCATGACCTTCTCTTTTCTGCTGCACACTTCCTTTCTTCCCTCTGCTGTGCAGTATTGTCCCCCTGTCCCTGCATGACTGTGCACAGTGAGGTATGTCTGCACGCACCTGGGTGTGTGCTGGCTGCCAGCTAAGCAGGTGACTGCTCTATTCCTGCTGCCACCTTTCCCTTAGTGGAGGTGATACTGAGGTCTCCTATTCACTGCCATTTTTTAAATGAAACTTGTAGGAACTTGGTATCTTTGGACAACTTCAGTGAAATTTGGTAAAGGCGATATGAAGGGTCTTTATTGGGATCAAAAGGTACTGGATGAGAGGAATGGCCTCAGAATGCCCAATAGTGTGATCATACATACCTTATTTCCGTAGGAAACAAGACTGAAAAAAAGCATTCACAGAGATAGACAGTAAGAGGAAACAGGCCAACACAGGAAAAGGGAAGCAATTTTTCTGTATTTGGAAAAATTAAAACTAGAGTCAGCATAGGATGGAAGAATAAAAAAAATTTGCATTTCTAAAATACAGGAGAAATTTCACAATCTGATACAAGAGGATTGTAGTTCTTTAAAACTCAAGTGTGGGTTGTAACAGGTATTTATCACCTTAGTAAGCAGGTTGGGGCTACCTGGGTGTGGGTATCTCCCAAGACAAGTATACAAGCACTGACTTGTCAAACCTGCCAGCCTGCTGTTTTAGTAGCAATATCATAGGAGCGCTGTTTCTTTTAAAAGGGTGCACAAAGGGCACACAAGTTACTTGATTTCTAGAATGTAAGTTAAGAGGGATGGCTGAGGGAAATGGTAAAATTTGCTGCTCTTTCATGTTCTTCCTCCAAAGAAAACATCTTAAATAAAATACTGGATCTGCCTGGTGGGAGTGTGGCTCCACAGACAGTTATCTGCGTAATTTTGTTTTTCCCTGACATTAATATTTTGCAATTCACATAGTTTCCTACCACAATGTTTTGTGCAGGGGATGAGGAGATAAAGGGAGCATGGTGGCAGATGAATTTCTATCTGACCAGATAGTTTGGACATACCTTCAGGGTAGATGCACCTGAATGTTGTTATCATGTTATATAATGACTTAAACCCCAAATCACTTAGAGGATCAGTTCTGAACTGTGAAACTATCTGGTGTAAACAGTCTGTTATATGAATTAGTTGTCCACGGAGCCCGGGGAGTCTCCATCCTTGGGAATTTTTGAAACCTGACTAGGCAGAGCCATGAGTAACCTGGTCTGAAATCAGTGTTGCCTGTGATTTGAGCAGGAGATTGAATTAGTGACCAGCTAGTCCCTTTCAACCTAAGTTGTGAGTCTGTATTATTTTCTTGCAATTGTCACATTTATTTAAAACTTGGAGCTGACAATGATACAAAACAGGTATCAGGTGTCCTTGAACGTTTGACAGCTTCAGCTTAGTGATTTTTGTGAATTTCTGGAAATTTGTACTGCCTATCAAAATTTGGAGGAGTCCTCAAACAAGAATCCTGGGGTAACTCCACCACAGAAGCAGCAGTGATCATAATCCAGCAGGTTGTCTTTTGCCAATTGCAGTGTAAGGGTGTTAGCTTTTGTGATTCCATGTGGTAAATTATTGACATAAATTGAATGATCCAGAATATGAACAGAAAGTAGAAATTCAAAACATACCTTGACACTTCTCATTTTTAACCACATTGTAGGTGGGAAGAGTTCACCTGTTATTTTTTTAGGGTGATGTTGATAACACTGCCATCCTTCCCTGACCTGCTTTCAGAAGTGAGAGGAAATTTTTCATATGAGGCCAGCATGCACCCATTCCTGGGATAGCAGTGCAGAGTGCCCAGTCTGCTGTGTCAGATCATCTCTGCTGGCATTTCCTGCAACTTTCAGTCATTCTGAAACTGCCTCCAAATATTTTCTATTAGGTGACACAATACAGATTGACTGCAGTGTAGAGATGTACTAGCTCTCAAACCTAAATCACAAACCTATTTACCTGTGAGTAAAACATTTAAATTATATTTTCAGATTATTAAAATTGATGTTTTCTTTTTGTGTAAACAAAATATCCTAATCCCATCTATCAGAGGGAGAGGACAATATGATCAGAATAGAATTTGTGTGTGGAGAATTATGTCTTTCATATGTACCCTGGTTTTCAATGAGGAAATAAATAAATGCTGGCATTTCACTTCTCATTACAAATGAAAACATCAGCTGTTACTGTTTTGTTTTATTTTCTTGAGAGCATACATTACTTGGCTTCTGGAAATTAGTTGTTTGGGTTTGGGTTTTTTTCCTTGCCTGGCATTATAGAAAACACCCTTCTTCTAAACGAGAATAAGTACAATAATGCAAAATTGGCTCTAGAGAAAAGGCAGTGGTGCATACAAAAATACTGCACATAGAATGTCTATCCCAAGTTCTTACTACATCCTCACAGTCATGAATAAACAAACTCTTGCAATTACTTGCAGCTGATGTTACCATGACAACAGTGTGTATATGTAACAAAATTCAGTAATCACTGCCAGCAAAACCCCCAGTACAGCTAATGCTTCTGTTTGCCAGGATGAAATACTTTCATTAAGGATTAAATCAACTCCAGATCATAAGTTCTGCCTTCAATATTAGGATCAAAAGTAATTATTCATTCCAGTATATGGAGATAGTTTGGATTGAGTTCCCTTTTATCAAACAGGATATGTAAAGGGAGAAGCTGTATCTCTTCTTACCAGTTATGTAGTGATAAATCACTTGGCATTGTTCTGGCAAGCACAGTGGACACAGTCTGTATCTGACGCTTTTTGGTGCAAGTTTCTTCTCACCCAAATTTGCCAGTTCTGTGTGTGCTACTGATCTGCATATCTGCAGTTGAGGAACAGCAGCTTCCTGGGACAACTGCAGGAATGCAAATTGGAAATATTTTTTGATTTAACTTCCTGAGAGATAGAAATTGTGGAATCCAGACTTAAATGCAGCAGGTCACATCCGGGTGTAAACAGGGTTCTACTTCAAAATGGCAATAGTATATATCAGTTTAAATAAATTACTGGTCTGTTGCTTACTATGAGCTCTGATTTGTTCCATAACTGCTGTTGTAGTATCTGTGATCATTAGATTCTGCTGATACTCAGTTTTATATTCCAGTTATATTTACCTTAAGGAATCTTAGATGCCTTGAGAAAGACTCAGAATTTTTCCAGTTCAGGGAAAGTCCTGCCAAATTTAACATTTTTCTGTACATTCAAATATTCATGTTCATTGCTTTCTAAGACAGAGACCACTAAAGCAGCAGTATTTCTGAACACCAACACCTGCTAAATACTAAAAGCAGACATTAGTTAAGTGCACCAATGGCTTGTAAAAATAGTAACTTCCTTGTAGGAGTGAATATTTCTCTTAATTTACCTATGTTAAACCATTTGATTTTATTAACTAGTACTTCAGTTGACCAATTGAGATGGAAAAAGCAGGACCAACCTAGGACTCTTGCAGATTTTATCAGAAATTGTGGTCAAGAAAATGAGGGCTGCTCATCCTTCCTTCTTCAAGGATACAATTTCTAGAAAAATGGCAATAATGCCCTTCTCTGCAGACTCTATTTCTTCTGTTTACTGAAAGTTAAGTATGTGCTCTGCTCCATACGTAACATTTATTAATATTAAAATACAAAACTAATCAAATTAACTTGCTCTTATGCAACTTTATGCACTTCTAAACTGAATTCCAGTTTTAGTAGTGTGAAGTTTGCTGCACTTCGAAGTGGGGAAATTTGTAGATGAAGTAATAGAATATTTTGTCACCAGTCAGCAGAAATGTAAGATATAAGGGGGTTTTTTGAGTATACAAGGCAGCTTGAACTTTGCCTCTTGGCTTTGAAAGTTGCTTGTGATCAATTTACAGCAGCGGGGCTTTTTATACTTAAACCAATTATTTTATTGCCCAGAGAAGTTGTGGATGCTCCACCCCTGGAAGTGCTCAAGGCCAGGCTGGATGGGACTCTGAGCAGCCTGGTCTAGTGGAAGGTGTGCTTGCCCATGGCAGAGGGCTTGGAACTAGATGATCTTAAAGCTCCCTTCCAACCCAAATCATTCTGTGATTCTCTGATTTTGATATTCTTTTGTACTTAGTAGAAATATTGCTAAAATGTGCTATTTATTTAAAGCAAAAGTTATTATTGGGTTAGTGTCCTCCAGAAATAAATACTGCATTTCATTTCCCCTTGAATTTTAGTAACAGAAGCTGTTGTTCTGCAAAATTAATTCAATGACCAGTATTCTGTAGTAGTAAACACATACTTAATAAGGGAACTTTCATGTTTATTTCTTGTCTGCAGTTGTGTTTCCTCCATCTGTGCTCATTTGATGGGAAGGAGGTGAGAGAACCTTGCAAAACAGTTGATAATACCACTGCTGACAGCTGTGGTGTATTAGTTGTGCAGGTGTCTGATTGGACTGGTGTAACTGGTTTGAGGTGGTGCTGCTGGGGAAGTTTGGTAGAAATGATTTTGGATTTGAGGTGATAGTCTCAGTGACCTTGTGGTGAGGGAAAGCGTGATTGGCATTTCTGCTTAGCTGAAATAAGGAGTC